CTGAGTTTAAACTTTGAGAAACTCCCTTTAATTTTTTGTTAATGTTTCCCGGCAACTTTGGATGGGATGAAGGTCATAGAAAAGATGAGACACACGCTGAGCTTCTAACAGGAAAGTTTATTATTCTTCTATGTAATGAACATATATAATACTATATGCAATACTTCAGGTATCATTTAGAAACTGGAATAAATAGCCCTTAGGTTCTGTACATCACAAATAGCCATAATAGCGAACACAAATTATTTTAGCACGCTCCATTGAACATTATGAATTTTATCAAGACCAAATCTATCCAAAATTTGGACGTTAGTTTTATTTGAGCTTTCTTCCTCCTCAGAATTGGAATGGATGCTTCTAAAACCATTCAAATAACACATTTCCAATCCCAAGTTGGAAAAATAAACTGGAAAACGTCTCTAAGTTTGGACAAATTTGAGCAACTCATCTTGAAATCCCATTTGGAGTTGGTACTGCTGGTTTTACACGTGTAATGTTCTGTGATTAGTCTGAATTGCTACCAGTTCATCCTGTTCTTATCGCTGAACGGAACAGAACCAGGAACAAATCAAAAATAAGTTTTCTAACTTGCTCTCTGAAGGATAAAATGTCTGTTATTTGATTTTCAGATCCCAGTTTGATCACAATAGCTCTAAGAGTACAGAGCCATTTCTTTTCTTCTTGGAAGTAAACGTTTAACCAAAGAAGTAATATTTGCTTTGAGACTGAAGACGTATATAGAAATTTTCTTTTGTTTGAGCTCCTCCTTCAACATAAAATACAATAAATATCAAACTTCTGAATGTTTCAGTGAGAATTTCCATGTATAAAAACATCTTCCCACATCTAAATGCCGTATTTGTAATGTAAATGGTGCAGAAATAATTGCTCCCTTATGTGCTCAAATAGTTTTATCTACCAGCGGATTGTAATTGAAAGCAAGCATTTCATTCAAGAGGAGGTTTAAATTTTAATTCCTGCACTTTATTGTGCAACGACGTGTGATGCCACTTTAATTTCCCTTTGTATCTTTTAATTCGGCTTGCTGTGCGTTTTCCTCCGTTCCGTCGCCTTTGCCCTGACGTGAGCGTTCGACTCACTGAGCTCATGAGTGTCTGCCGCTCATCAAAGGGAAGGTGAAGCTCTTCCTGCCTGCAATGAGGTTCCGATTCGGGGCTCAGGTGGTTCTGGATCGTCAGAGGAAAACATAAAAGTCGAATGCTTCCGCTCTCCCTTTGTTGATCTAGTTCAATCTCGCTTTAGTCTGTAATCCCATAATCTTCCTCTCTGTGCGCACACACTGCAGCTCGACACGCTGGCTGCTGCATCAATCTGTCTAAAACCTGAACCTGAGCTCTTCGCCTCAGCGCTCTTTGCTTTCTCGCACCTCAAGCAGAGGCTACCTCCAAACAAAACCACTGGTTTCAAGTGAGGCTTTGTTTAAATTCACATTTTGTCTGTTTTTATGCTTCCATTTCGATCTCAACCGCTTCTAAAATTAACCGAAGCGCTTAAAAAAATACACTCAGCTGTATTTTGGTGTTTCAAAAACCTTACAATTATTAAGTCACACTGCCTTGTTACTGTTGAGCATAAATAATTCTGTGTTTTTCTTCTATCTTTCTTAGCTAGTCGCAAAGCTAAAGCTAAAGGAAATGGCCGGTTAGGAAATGCCCTCAAAGGTAAAGTTAGAGGATGTGTTAGTAGGGAACTCCCTCTTTAGGACGTAGCTTCAATAGAGGCTATCAAAGAGGATGGAAAACTTTTGTTTGATGCCATCTTGTCTGTTGGCGCCTAAAAGTAGCTCGTCAGAATGGACCAGCTGTATTTTGGTTTTTATAATTCATGAATTCAACTCACTGACTCTTCTTCAACCTCATATATCAAGAACTTAGAGAATAGAGAAAGAGAATTCTCCACATTACCTACAGAAGCGTAAGGCTAGCATGTTTGGTCAGCTGGTTTTATGTGTTGTACAATGGCTGCTGGATAAAAGGTAACAAGTATTTTGTCCTGACTTACCACCCAGAAACCACTTGCTTCATTCAAATTGACTGTGCAGGAGGAGCCACTAATACTTATCAAAGATGTACGGTTTTATAACTTTACATCTGTTTGCAGCCATTTTCACATGAGTGTAAACGTTGAGTTGAGATGTGGCCAGCTGCAGATTATTTAGATTTAAAGAGTCCCTAAAGCAGAATGGACCGGACTAAAATCTCGTTATCTAGGAATTATTTTGTGCAAAAAAGGGGGGCTTTAAACCGATCCTAACCACAATACATCAACTTTAAAACTGTACCAGTTACTCTTTGAGCAGATTTTCGTCTCCCCTGCAGATTAAAAATATGGTGAAATTATTATTTTTGTCCAAAAAATGGAAGCAGAGAAACATCCTGAGACTGAGGGCACAGGTCAGAGCAGTGAGTCGGTTTCTAAGCGTTTTCCTTCGGGGACCGACTCAAAGCAACAGTTGGATTCTTACACAACGCAGCCTGTGAAGCAGAGCCACGTTTCATTGTTCCCACGATAACAGAGCATCTTTTCTGCATCCACACAGGCTTGGAAGGAAAATCTCCTGGGTTTAAACACATAATGATGCTGTTTCGCTACGCTCATCGCCTTTCACTTTCTTAGACTTTTACAGCGACGTTGAGCAGAAACGGCTGACAGCGAGGAACACGAGATCTCAGCAGGTTACCTGAAAAGACGAGCCGTTTCAGCAGCTATATTTATGCGTGGATTTGAATCATTTTTATAGAAAATGTAGGAAAATATCATTTCTTTCAAAGACCAAAACCTGAATAAATGCTAGTACTGACATTGTCTTTTTTCAACTGAACTGAATGCAAAATGAATCAAATAAACGAATTGATGAAATCAAACGGCGTTCAATCTGGTTCAACTGAACTGAACCGAAGTCAGTCAAACCTGACTGAATGTAATTCAATTCAACTGAAAAGAACTGAATCAGTCTCAATCATGAACTAAAGTTAATTCAGAGGAATCGAATTTAATCAAACTAAACTGAATAGAATTCAATGGAACCAGATTGAATTGAGTTGAAGTGAAATTAACGACGCAGAATTTCAGAAAACTGAAACAAACCAAGCAAATTTAAATCAAAATGAACAAATTAACGAACTGAAGTTTAAATCAAATCATTTGGAGTTGAGTGTAATGTTACTGAACTGAAGTAAATATTTTTGATGAAGCAGAAATGAACTGAGTTCATTAAATCAAACAGCTCATCTAAAACAAACTGGGCTGAAAAAAATTTAATACACGTGTACCGACAAAAATCTTATTTAAATCTAACTGAGCAGAAATGAACTGAACTAAAACTAATTCAGTTCAATCCAAGTCAGTTCAACATTCTGTTAAAGTGAACATCCAGTTCAGTTCACTTCAATTTAGATTAATCCAGTTCAGTTGGATTATTTCAGTTTAGTTTTCCTGAAAAGTAAAATATCTGAGAACAGAAAAGATTTATTTCTATCTGCTGTTTTAATCTGTTTAAATATTAAATATTCTCCACAATAAAAGGAAAAAAAATCCTGAACCAGTTGTTTGAAGGTGAATCCTGATTAAATTATTATTTCTCTGTTTTTTCTCAAGGAAATTATTCAGCAGCAGAATAATTTATCTCCAAATAAAACCTTCATTGAGCGCGAATGACTGAATAAAACATAAACACAACAAAACAAAATATGTTTTAGCATGAAAAATGATTTTTATTAATGGAAAAACCTAGTTATTGGTGGAACTAATGATCAGAAATGAAGTTAATTTGACAGAGAAGAGGTTATTCCTCCATTTCTATCAGGATTAATTAGCATCATCATTAATTTTAAAGCATCTTTTTAGCTTTAAAACTGAACTTTATGGAGAAGATGGAGCTGTTCCCAGCTTTAAATGTGTTTTATTCTACCTTTGAGGAAGATTTAGATGCAGGATTGGGTAAATGGAATCAGAAGTTTCCCTTCAAATCTGGTAAAATATATTTAGGGAAGAAGAACGAGGGGCATCTTTAATCGTTTCCCTGCTTTCCCGACTGTGGCAGCCCAAAAAGACGTGTCTTTGCCGACTCGTTTGATCACAGAGAAAATCCTCTCGTGTCAAACTTCCCCCGACTTCAGACTTAAAAAAGAAAAAAAAAGAAGAAGAAGAAAAAAAATCCTTAAATCAAAAAGCATCTTGGAGGGAGAAAAAGAGCAGCACAACCCTTAAAAATAGCAGCATCAAAATATCATCCGTCATCTTTTTTAACTCCAAGAAGCAAGGAGAACAAAGATGGGAGATGAAAGTGCGGACATCATTTCCTCTCGGTGTAAGTGCAGCAGGTGGGAGGTAAACTGAAGGCCGGCTGGAAGTTTTCCTGCTTCCTCCCAGCAGCAGATTAGACCCGCAGCTTCCAAAGAGGGACACCAGTGTCCTTGGATGTTCCTCTTTTTTAACTCCATTTGATGTTATCATCCCTGACTCGGACTAAGTACGGCTTAATATTTGGTCCAGTAGCAATTTCAGCCTTGAGAAAGAGGCTGCGGTGCAGTAATGAAGCCTCATTGTTTGCTACGGCTTCAATGGAGGCTTTGTTGCTCAAAAATCTGCACAATAATTTGCTTTTTCTCGTCTTCTTTTTAATATATTTGTTCAATGTATTTTCAAGGGCACAAGCAAGATAAGCACCTGGAATAAAAGGTGAATGGTTTTATAATGTTTCATTGGACGGGATTGCTCAGCCAAGGTTATATCAGGCTAACGATTAGCATTCAAACGGCAGCGTCTTTAATTGAAGTGGTCAGCAACACATTTGTTCAGCAACACATTGGTATGCATCTGATATGATGAAGGTGTTTGACCCGTGTGTGTGTGTTTGAATGTGAATGCGTGCGTGCGTGTGTGTGGGGATGCATATATGCGTGTGTGTGTGTGTGTGTGCACACATCCCCCAAAAAAAGACAAGAAGGAAAAAAAGGAAAAACATGCAACAAAAATACCTTCGTCTCGAGGCTTGTTCATTGAAGATTCATCAGTTTTTTTTGTGAGCGGACCTAGGGTTAAGAAAAAAAGGGGGGAAAAAGAGAAAAGAGAAAATTTCAAAAAAGATTACTGGCAAAAACCGATTTAAAAAAAAAATAAGAATATCAAAAAAAGAAAAGAAGCAAGAGTGAAAAAAAGGACAAATCAGTTCAAGAGTTCATGTTTGCTTATTGTGTTTTTTTTTTCTTTAAAAAGAGCACAAAAACAAAAAAGAAGGCATCACAGACACAGATTCATCACAAGAAAAGACACAAGATCAAAGAAGAAATCGGCTGCCATGTTTGTTTGTTTTTGGTTTTATTTTAAACCCTGTTTGCTCCGTTTGTTAAACCTTTGGATGCTGACTGGGTGGTAAGTGGGGTTTGAAGAACAGGACCCAAAAACGAACTGACCTCTGAAAAATGTGCAACTAATAATAAAAAATAAAAAAAAAACCCTGAGGAAGAACGGCAGGTTTGGGTCCTGATGCTCAAACGGATCAGAAAGCTGTTTATTACCGTGAATGAATGAGAAAAACACACCGGAGACCAAGACAGCTTTAATAGGACGACACGGAGCCTGTAATGGTAAACAGCATGTTAACATGTTCCTGACAAAACAGGTGCTTGGTTTGTTTTTTTCTGTTTTTATCATGTGTGAGGAATTCAGTGTTTATTCCTCAGGCGAAAAAATAATGACATGGCGCAACAGCAGCGGCGGCTCGTCGGCCCGAAATGACAAGCGAGCGTCAGGCTGATTGCACAGAGGATTCTGGGTAAGAGGGCAGCGCGGCCTGACCCCCGTCTGCCCACAGGCTGAATTTTTACTAAATTAAAAGAGTGGCATGAAGAAAAGTGGAGAAGAGAAATGACCCCCTCTTTTATTTCCTCCATCGGTGTAAACAAACATGATGTCTCTCTCTCTCTCTTTTTTTTTTTTTGACCAAAAATTCAGTAAATGTGTGAAATGTTAAAAACGATGCTTTCATTTAATTTCCATCTGACGTTTGCTCACTGAAGCTGCACTACAGGTCATCTTGTACGACTTCATTCCTCACATTCTGGATGTTTCTTGTGAAAACATCCTCACCATTTCAACGGTTTGACTTTATTTCACCTTCATTTTAAGTGGAAGTCGATGTGAAAACTTCTAGTTTTCTCGTTTTCAGTGGCAACTGTTGAAAGAAATGCATAAGAAGACGCGGCAAACGTGTAGAAGAAAATAAAAAGTTACATTTTCTAATCTGCATTCAAATGATGTTTGGAGGAAAATTAATTTTCCACTTCACCCTAGAAACATCACCTGCTCAGGTGAGCATGGTAGTGGCAGTATCATGCTTTGTAGAAGCTTCTGTTTACCAAGAACAGGGAAACTGGTTAGAGTTTACAGTTAGAAGAAGCTACAGGGAAGGTAAAATATTTGAGTTTCCAGAAGAACAACGAAATATGAAACTAGAGCCACAAAGGAAGAGTTCTGGTTTTAGAAAGGCCTAGTCAAAGTTCTGACTTGAAAACTGTTCCCAGATCTGTCCAGTCAGACTGAGCGGCCAAAAATCTTATTCTTGGTGCAGATAAACTGGTAGAGATGTTTCCAAAAGAAAATCAGGAGAGAAAGATGCTTTATCATTACCTACTTGTTTTTCAAGAAAAAAATAATCTTCTAGATTCTTTTCACGTCAATTGGCTATTTTAATTGGTCTATCGCTGAAAATCCCAGTGAAAAACACAAAAAGTTTGGCAGCAGCATAATAAAATGCAGATATTTTTAAGGCGTTTAAATAATTTTCCAAGATGAAACATCAACAGCCTTTGTTTTCATTCTCTGAATGAAAACTCTGCAAGCCTGAGTTTTAAATATTGGCTATTTTAATAATAAGATTTTATGATGATCTGCAGTTCAACAATGAAAAACCTGGAGCATTTAATATTCACTAAAACACAAAACATTAAATATTTTACATTTAATATCTGACCTCATCTTGAAGCCTCTGATAAAGGAAGTCGGAGTTCATAAAACATAAAATAAAGTCAGAAGAACAAAATGAAGTTTCTAATTTTTATCTAAACAAGCAGGGAATATCTTGCTACCACGTGACGAAACATTAAACTTTTACAGACTTTTACAGACTGGACCTTCATGTCGTGCAAATGGCCTGATATTTAAAACAAAATCTGAACTATTTTCTCTATGAAAGTTTAATTCTTCATAAAAGACAGAAAACTCTGGTGGAAATATGCAGACACTCTGCCATGTTGATGTATTGATCTCATTAAAAATATATTGAAATAAATTTCACCAGCTACCAGAATTAAGCTCCATTTTTTTTAATAACTGTCACAGCATAAAACGTCAGGCTATAATTTCAACATGAATCATATTAAAATACAGACTTGCATTCATATGTGGCGTAACTGGAAAAATTCCTCGTTTATCTGGATGGTTTCTGCCTTTTTGCGTTTCTCTTCGTTTGATTTTTGGGTTTTTTTTATTAAAAACTAAAGTGTAAAAATCAGATGAGTTTATGGATTAATTACTAAAATCTATTTAGTGTCAGGAAATGTCAGATTTGGAAAAACTTCAGCTACGTTTCCAGGATGTTTTCCATCATTTACTCTTACAGAAACATCTTTTATGCAAGCGCTGAGCCCGAATTTGAATTTTATAAGATCCAATACTGAATGGCAATTTCTTTTTCAGTTTCTCGAACGTCCGATTCAAGTAAAACAGATTTGTTTTGGTACTCAAAACTCTGAAAAAGGCTATAAATAAAATAAATTTGCCCTTTTCTGCAGTCAGAGCTTTATTTCTTCAACTCAAGGACATCCTGGCACAACACAAGATGTTCCAGGAAGTTTGTAAATTTTGCTTTGGCCAAATTGCTTCTCCATAAAATGTCTTGAATCGTGATTTTTTATTTTTTTTTTCCCCCAGTAATGGTCACAAAAAGTCCCTTTGTTTCCATTCATCCTCCAGTGGGGAGCCAACGCTAACCTTCCACCCAATCATATTTAATTTCAGCAGAACTAAAGTGGAGTGCTGTGTTGTGCCTGATAAGTGGACTGGAGACGGTTCTCTGAGTGGCTTCAGCCGAACGCATTAAAACATGCAGCAGCCAGGAAGTTAATTCAGGAGGAGTTTCTATCTTACGAGGAAAACGTGTCCTGGAGTTCGTTCCAATCACAAAGTACAAACACAGCTTATTAAAAGCTCATTCTGTTCTCCGCTCATCGGTTATTGGTGCTTATTTTACAGGGACTTTTCTGAAACGAGGTGTTTCAGGGAAAAAGAGATCAGGATGATGATGAGGAAGATTGTTGGGTTTAAAGTCTGAATGCAGTTTAGAGACGCAGAAAAAAATATTAATTCCATAGAAAATTGTCATTTGTATCCCGAATCGATTCAAAATGCGCAAAATTGTTTGATTTTGAAAAATGATATTTTTTATGTCAGAAGAGCCAGGCAGCTACGCTAACCTACTGCAGATCATAAAGTTGCAGACCTAAACCTAAACCCAGTCCTCCTTAAATATACACTGATGAAATTTGAAGCCTCACAGAATTGTTTTGAATGTTCTTTTTGTTTTCACTGTTTTTTTTTTCCTCTTGTCAATTGAAATATAATGAATTTCTGGATCGAATTGTGACATAAAGACACTGAAAGATTTGCATCTCTAATGTGGATCAGTGTGTTGGCATTTAAGTCCAAATGCACATTAAAAATAAGCTGAAGGCCAACAGGAACATCAAAAACATGATAATTTATCATAAACAGTTTATAAACAAACTTGAGTTAAAACACATTTTATTCTTAACTCTTTGGTGCAGAAAACTGGTTAAAAATGTATCTATTAACTGCATGTTTATGTTAGTTTGTGTAAAATGCTGCACATTTGCCAACAATTCAGACTGAGACACAAAAAAACTGTGATATTGAAATAAAGTAACTAAAAAAAGTAAAAATAGTTTTTCTATTTTCTTCTTAAAGAAGGTTTTTGTCATGTATTAGTTTTGGATTAAGGATGAAAATCCCATATTTCCTCTCATCCATTATTGTCACAAAACAAAATGGCATAAAATAAAAGAAATATTCACAAATAAAATATTAACAAACATAGAAAAATCTTACAAAAACATTATATTGCGGCAGAAACACTTTCAGCATTCAAGATGTTGCATAAACTTGACACTAAATATCGCGAGAGAGAGAGAACGCAAAAGAAGAAAAATCCCCCATGTCCACTAGGGGGCTCTGTTGAAATGAAACATTTCAGGTTAAAAATGTCTGAAAACCTCTAATTATTAATCCATGGTTGTTTCCCAGGGTGTAAACATGACAGGGGATCATTTATTTCAGTCACTGGATGTTATGAAAAGTAAAACAACCTGAAAAACTCACTGATGAAGAACCATAACAGTGAGCAACGTTGAGTCTATATAAGCATCTATACTGTGTTTTTCAGCAGGAAGTGAAGCTACAACACATATTCACAACATAGTAAATGAAGACATGTGGATTCTTGAGAATCCGTTCAGAAAACTAAATAAGCTTTAAATGTTGGCAAAAGATAAAACAATACTTACGATGTTTTTTGTTGAACTGAAACAGTCGTGATGCACCTAAACAGTTTGTGCAACAAAATTTAGCACATTTACATAAAACTAAACAATCTACTTTATTTCATCAGTCTCAGAGATTAAACTTATACAAAACCTGTGAAGGGTGAAAAACATAGCAGGATGATATTCAGGGTTTGGCAAACAGGAAAAGTGAAACCTGGAGAAATGTTCTTGGTTTCACTTTCAGCAAAATCAGAACCAGGATTGGTTTTAATGACCAAGACAACAAATTAGACTTTGAGTTTCAAGCATTCAAACTTTGAGTTTCAAGCATTCAAAACATATAAACTTTAGAGAAAGTACAAAATGGATCAAAATAAATTCATAAAAACTGTATTGTCCAGCCTCAAAAGACGAGGCAAAACAAGAACTTCAGTGGAGATTATTTAAGAAAAGTACGGCCAACTTTTAAAACT